AGGAGTACACAAAGTCTCTTGACAATACACTGGAAACAGAAAGTGAAAACCATTAAGTGCTAAAGTAAGCCACTCATCATCCTAAATTATTAAGTCTCAGTTGGGGAGCAGAGACAGGGCAGGACTAGGAAGTGCCTGAGGGCTTCCCCCTGGCAGAGCTCTACACCAAGCTTTGGAACAATGCAGGAGCCACTGAACACTTGCTCTGAGGGAGAGGGGAGTGCAGGTGTCTGGAAACTCAAAGACACTCTGTGTTCACCGGGGAGCAAGGCACTGATCCAACCCAGGCATGGACAGGGCAGCTGGGGCACCCTCACTGCCCCTGCTCCAACTGACAAGCTTCTAGTCTCATTTTGGGAGACCAAAAGAAAATGGAGACAAAGCAGGAGCACAAGTAATGACAGGGGGCCATGGCACACTCAGAAATACAAACAAGATTATTTTTATTACCATTACTCTCTATAATAATCCCCAGGGTAAATAAAGCTGCTTCCTTTACGATGCAATGAGCACTGGACTTGGCAAGGTCATTTATAAACATCAAACCACCAATTTCTCGCAAGTATTCGCTCGCTTCACCTACAAGAGGAAAAAAGAACAGAAACTTTTGCTTTTGTTTCTCTGCAAAATGAAAGGCTTCTAAGGTTCTCCAACACCTCAAGCCTGATGTCCTTTAGACATTTTTACAGTGCCCACCAGTTCTTGGCATATTTGGTGATCATAAATGACTGGTTCTAAGGAAAAGCCTTTCTTACTGTTTTGCTGGCAAATTAAATAGATAGTGATCAAAGCCTGCTTCTGAGACAGAGGGCAGTCCATCTGATATTTAAGGCATTCAAGCAGTAAGTTCAAATCTGTTTTCATATCTAGGAGCAAACACAAAAAACTTCATTAAAATTGTTATATTTTCTAGAAATTAATCTAGTCTAACCTGTCCAAAATGTAGTATGTACATTCATTTTAAAAAAGGGGGAAAAGTGAGCCAAAATGGAGCCACACCACTTCTATTCAGCCACAAACAACAAACCTAGAAATATTTCTGTCCATAGTTTGTTATTTGAGCATGATTTCCTTTGCAGAGTAACAGCCTTCTCGTAATATTTCTGGCCTTTAATTACTAGTAATTCTTAGTAAGTCTGATGTAAACAACTAAATATTAAATTCACAACTGCAAGGTGCGTTAAGTGTAAATAATACAGAGCCATTAAAGTATTCAGAGGGCAAATAAAATTCAGAGTGCAGCTGAAAATCTCTGGAGTAGCAAGGAAAGAGTCCAAGAGCACAAGGCTGCTGTGTGGTACTGAGTTACAGGAGACAGAAACCACGCAGCACAGCAGCACAGCCCTCAGCCAGGTGCTTGGAGATGTAACACAAAATATTCTCTGGCCTCCTACATACAACCCTGGGTGGGTAAACAGCTTGGAAAATCTGCTTCTTAGTCTTTGGGGTATCATTAAAAGACTTACTTGATCATTATTTCTAGCAGTGACAGAGGGTATTGTTTGCTGTAAACCCTTACAAGGTTTGAAGGTTCTTAAAGAAGTTAAAATACAATGAAAATGTGGATAAATATTAGCAAATTAAAAAAAAAAAAGTGACTTTGTGGTGGTGTGTTTTACTCTGTGTGTAGGTTTGGCACTGGATGTACCCTTTGCATATCCAATACAGTATCCAAAATTTGGCAACTAGGAAAAAGCATGTTTTCCCAGCTGCTCACCACCCCACAACAGGCCTATCACTAAAGTCTGCTAAAACTTTGTAAAATTGATGTAGATTATAATGATAAATTATATTAGATATCTTACCACACTGACTTATCTGCACCTTTTGAGTGTTCATTTTTGTTTTATCTCTGTTCTTGTTCTACAACAGCAAGGAAAAAGTGTTTTCAGTTCTGTTCAGATTAGCAGTGTTTATAATATATGCAGTATAAATGACATCATTTTTCTAAAATGCACTTTTCCCAATTTTCTGCTTTTACTGTGTCATCTCACACACAGTTTAATGTATTCTTGTATGGCAAAATTTTCCTTTGGAAACACAATATTTTATAATAGCCCTGCATTTGTAACTACCAGGTTATCACCTTTTGAGAGTGGACAAAGGCTCAAAGCAGAATCATTGTCATCTTAACGAAGACAGCCAGCTCTGCTTTCTCTTGGGAGTTACTGATTGTCCCCATTCCTTTGCTGCTTCCCTTAGAGAGTGAGAATTGAGAGACTTCATCTCCCTGCAGCCTTTCAGAAGTGATAACAGACATGCATGTCATTTTCCTACAAATACAACCCTGGCACAACAAGGAAAAGCCTGCCAGCCTTCCTCACCTCGTTTTGTCCTACTGCCACCACCCTGCCAGCCTAAGAAAAAACAAAACCCACCCAAACCAAAGGAAGGCTGCAAAAATGAGTTCACTCTGGAGCTAATTGCTTTTCAGAAGAGTTTAATTTAATACATGTTTATACAATTATACAATGTAGGAAACACAAGGGGTTTAAAATTGTATGTATACAAGGACACATCTTGACTTTTTCCTGGATCATTTTACTTTTGCAACCTACAGAAGGTACACAAAATAGTGTTTATAAGCCAGCCTACATTAATTAGATGCAAACAGCTCACCTCGGTTGTTGCATCACAGAGCAGGGTGGAAAGACAAGCAACTAGATTTATCTCAACAAACAGCTGGCAAGTGTTGCACATGAAACTCTTCTCCGTCAGTTATGGCAAATAACCCACTTGTAACATTGCTTCAAACCTCAGAAACCACTCCTGGAGAAGCACAGATCTGTCAGTGCGTGTGCTCAGCAGCACTAGAGCACATGGCTGGCACGGTCAGCAGAATGCCAGCCTGGGCAGGACTTATCCTTCGAAACCAGGGACCGAGCCCAGAGGGGACAAGTGCGCCTTGTTGGCGTCCTGTGGAAACCAAAGCCCAGAGCAGCAGCGGAGGCCGTGAGGACGCTGCGCTGTGCAACAGCACTTGGGGCTGTCCTGGCCTATTTCAGCTCCCTCAGATGAGCCCTGCGTGATTTACAGCTCATTATCAGAGCTCCATTCTGAAGTCTTAGCAAGCACTCCTGATCAGCCCAAATATAAAAGCGAAAGAACATAAGAAAGGGGGGAGGGGGATGAAAGGCAACAGTCTAATGATGAAACAGCAGCTGCATTCTTCTGTGGGAAGGTTAGGGAGTCTCGAGGGGGGAAATGGGGCACGGCTCGAGTACCTCTGATCCAGTGGTGCGGGTGGCT